CTCCCAATTCTCAGAAAAAAAGAAAAAAAAAACACCCAACGGTGGCCTTGGAATGTTTGGAGATAAACCTCGAAGGTCATAGTTCAAGCCTCCAGGTGGAAAGCTTAATAACTTAAAATCCTTGTTATTTCTTAGAGCTTAATGGGATAGATTATGAACATAATGCAAGGAGTGGACCATCAATATTAAAAAAAAATGAAGGGAGCAAATCAAACTGTAAGAACTTGAAGTGTTATTATCATTATATTTTTTTGTGGGGCGTGAATATATCAATATATCATTTATCTGTTTCTCATTCAGATAAAAAGACTTCATGATTTCTAATTCTGAGTTTGTGCAGGATGGCTGTCATATTTCTGACATTCGACGTGCTCTTTGCCATCTTTTGTGTTGTTTTGGCATGTTTGATTGGCATTGCTCTTTGTTGCTGCTTGCCTTGCATTATAGCTATTCTTTATGCTATTGCTGGCCAGGTAAGAGGAAATCCCTGTTTTCATGGCTGTCACAGAGATGTTAAGCAAATTGAGGGCTCACGAAACCTGCTCTAACTTTTTTCTTTCCCTTTTCCCTTCACATGTATCTCAACAGGAAGGTGCATCCGATGCAGATTTGAGTATGCTTCCCAAGTATAGATATCAAGTCTCCAACAAGCCTTCTCGGGGGGATGGGGTGATGGTTCCAGTAGAAACAAGTAGTAGATACTTGACGACCGAACGTGTTCTGTTACATGAGGATGCGGTAAAGTCAACTGTTTTATCGTTCTTTATGATTGATCTTCATTCTTTACTTCCCGTTATCCTCACTACTTCAGTTTCCTACAATGTTGTGTACACAGAGAGATAATTAAGGGTCCGTTTCGTAACGTTCCCGTTTCTTGTTTCTCGTTTCCAATTTTCTTAAGAAATATAAGCATTTTGCCACTAACTAGGTTTCTTGTTTCTCTTTTTTGGGAACATTCTCAAAATTGTAAAAATTATATAGAAATTTTGGAAACAACCAAAACAAGTTTCTTTTTTCTGGTTTCCATTCCCAATTTGTTCCAAAACATAAATACAAAGAGTTTTATCATACTTGAATCCATAGATGTTGGGTCCATGCAATTCATTTTTCTTTATTAAAAATGAAGAAACAGAATCAAGAAATAGAAACATTACCAAACGGGTCCTAATATTCTGTGTTGCAGACGAAAATAAATCTATGAGGTCCCTTAATATGGTAGTCTTGGATATTTATCTCCGGAAACATTACTTCATTAGACCCTAAAGATAGCTTAAGAAAAATGGATGGGAGAGGTGTTACTTCTTAACGTGCCGTGCCCGTTAGATAGATTTTGGTCAGGTTGATATATGACATGTCTTCTATTAATGGTGTTAATGATAAAAACTAAATAGAAGTATTGATTTAAAATTCAAAGACAATTAGGATTGTTTAGTTTAGGGACTAAATTTAATTTAACGTGATTAGACCCCAAAGATAGCCTAAGAAAAATGGATGGGAGAGGTGTTACATCTTAACGTGTCGTGCCCATTAGATAGATTTCGGTTGGGTTGATGTATGACATGTCTTCTATTAATGGTGTTAATGACAAAAACTAAATAAAAGTATTGATCTAAAATTCAAAGACAATTAGAATTTTTTAGTTTAGGGACTAAATTTAATTTAACGTGAGAAAGAGTATTCAATTAGAACAACCAACATGATCTTTCTCTTCATTATTAAACTAATCTTCTTTTGAAATCCGAAGTTTATATATAATCTTCTTGCTTTTCCTTTTAGGAGTGCTGTATATGCCTTAGTCCATACGAGGATGGAGCCGAGCTTCATGCTCTTCCCTGCAATCACCATTTTCATTATGTGTGCATCACAAAATGGCTCAAGATGAATGCAACATGTCCTCTGTGCAAGTACAACATTCTCAAAGATTGTGGACCCGTGTAAAGCTGAAGATGAAACGATGCTGCTAATTCCCGGTATGCCTGGAATCCTTGTACGTACATATAGATCAGATGAAACTTGTCAAAATATTGGTTGCGATTATGATGCATTGGGGTTGAAACATTTGAGCCTAGTTTTTCTTTTTGGGTATTAGTTCACTAGCCTGTTGAAGTTGTGTTCACCCTTGTAGATCTTTGTTGTATGATTTTTGTTTGGGTTTTTGTGAAAAAATTAAGTTTAGCACCCTTTTATTGTGTGTTTTACTAGTCAACTCATTTGATCTATAGCAACAATTATGAATATTTTTTTTCTGGTCAATGTGTTGAGATTAACATTTATATTCAATATTTTTTTTTTCTTTTTGGCCTCACCCCTTCAAGAGAAGAAGAGGTTGAAGTTAAAGAGAGTTGATGAGGAAAAGAATGAAGAGCAGATAAATTTGAGGATGAGAAGGGTCATTTGTGGGTAATTTGGCCAGATTTATTTTATAAATTAGGTTAAATTATAGATTTGACCCTAGGAATTTGAGGGTATTTTCAATTTTAAAAGTTTTCAATTTGGTTCATTGGTTAAACATCACAAATCCATCCCTATCATTATTTATCATATTATATTGAGAGTTTGTATTTTTTATCTGGATGCCTGATAAGGTCTCAAGTAAAAAAATTAAGGAAAAATGAGGGGATTTTTTGGTAGGTAAAAAAAGAAATCATTTGTGAGATTTAAACAAAATTTAAGGACCAAATTGAAAATTGAAACTTTTAGAATTATAGGGATTAAATTAAAATTAAACTCAATTATAATTGAAATTAAGATCAAGGTCAAATTCATTATTTATCCAAAAGATTATTACAATCAAAATTAGTAAAATTATCCTTTTTTTGGAAGTAGTTTGCTAATAACCCTAATTTTTCTTATGTCTCCTGGAAATCCGTCATCGTTCCCATCATTCTAAATTTGCGAATGCTAACACTAGTTAATATTTTAGTTTAAACCTACTATAGTTAGAAAATTTAAGTCAAGAGTTCAACAATAGGCAGGATCGGAATTTGAATTTCTTGACTTTTTTATCATAATATCTGCCTTAATTAGTTATCGAATTTCTTGACTTTTTATCATAATATATGCCTTAATTAGTTTAATTAGTTGAATTACACTTATGTTGGTTAAACCGAAGTCAAACCGATCAAAACAATGAGGTCAAAGATGATATTTTTTTGATGGATGATAGAGTATGTTTCTATCTCCAAATTCTTTTATTATAAATATCAATCATAAACTGTAAAAGCTACCCTTGATTATACGACCTCGACCACTCGTTCCTTTTGTAGTAAGCAACCCAGAGCTAGGGAGGAACACAACAAATGTGCAAGAACTCTGTTCTCTTGCCTCTAGGATTGTTAGAAGTTATTTAGAGAAAGCAAGCGTTAGAACTAAGAAGTAAAGAAGAGAATACACAGAAAAGAGACTTCACCCAAAGAAGTGTTCAAACTTCTGAAGCTTTCCTAAGGAATATACAGGATATACAATCAGATTCACTATTCCACCTCAAAACCCTGGAAAATACGAAGCTCGGTTGCTTATAAACCATTATGTAAACCGTTTTTACACGAACATATGTACTTGCATCCGCATCGAGTCCTAACGAACCTGAAGAGGTACTCCCAACTCTACATTACAATATATACCTATGTGCAGGAAAACCATCCTTTCAGGCTCCAAACTGCTGAAAGGATTATATCTATAAGGCGTAGATCTTCTCAAGGTCGGAGTTGTAGTCATCATCATCAGATATGTTAACTGAGTGAGGCCATGAGAAAGACTTGCTCCCACTTGCCCGTCTGATTCGTCGTTGAGAGTCGCTGCGAAAGATTCCAAAATGTTGTCGAAAAACCAAGTAGCACATGCAAGCAAGAGTTGCTACAAGGATCGGGACTCCAACAAGGGTGATAGCGAGCGCCATCCATGTTTCGTGCCCTACAACAACATAAGCTATTGCTATGAAAGCTCCAGAGGTGCAAGCACATGCAGCCCACATTAGCTTGTTTACGACAGAGACAACCTGCTTCTGAGCGGTTGTGTCCCACGCTACCAAAGTAATTTGAACCACCACGACAGCTAAAGATATGAATAGAGATGTAGTGTTTAGAAGGCAGAATACTTGGAAACCCATACTATGATAATGAGCTATGTTTGCCTGCCCAGCGTTTTTTCCTTCTTGTAGATATTGACCAGGCAAATTGAAGATTGCCAGGAATGCAATGGATGCAAAAAGAACGGCAACAACTGTGATGGAATTTGTGGTATTCTGAACAGCCTCTCTGTGGAGCTTCTTCAGTTCTTTGACGATGCCAGAAACTCTCCGACGTGTTTTCTCGTTTTGGATAAGTTGCGAGTGAACTTCGTGTTTTATATCACTGACCGTGCGTTTGAGCTCCATTGCTTCATCAACTCGGCCAACATGCCTTGCATATTTAGCACCAGCTTCAGCCAATGCTTCCTTAATCTCCAGTGAAGATTCGCTGTATTGCAATTTATCAGCCAAGTCCATGGCGGTTTCACGTTGACTATTGATTGCATTGACGTCGAGTGATGTAAAGCTTAGTAGAAGGCCTACAATCTGAGAAACAGGGCATGAATCAGCGACAAAACAACCAAGTTATAGCTATTCCTTTTAGTTTAAGCACCTTTTCCAATTGAGAAATGCTGAAGCAGTATATTGCTCTAGTTAATTAATATGTGCTAGCCATTTCTAAATTAAACTTAACAACATATATATCTTATGTAGACAATCTAATTTTAGATCAACTAACATTTTTCGAGAACATGTCATACCTCTGCACGACACTTTCTAGTTGCTATATGCAAAGCGGTATTTCCCATCTTGTCTCGTTCATTCAGTATAGACGAATCGACATGTAATAGTTCCTCAACTGCTGCAGTGCTCTGACCTTTTACAGCCATATGAAGTGCAGTCTGGGACTTCTTGTCCTTGATCGCGACTATTCCAGGATCACGGTCAATAAGTGTTTTAACAATTCGAAGGAGGCCGTACCTCACTACATTATGCAGAGCTGTCTTTCCATTCTTTCTTACAATTCTCATTGAACTGACATCAGCATCTAAGATAGCATTGACTACTTCCAAATGGTCCTGTACAGCAGCTGAATAGAGGGGGCTTGTGTTTGTGGAGTCACATGACAGACAAAGCTCCGGCCAAATGCCCAAAAGCTCCTTTACAATACCTGAAACAGGACGAATGATTAACTCTCAAGATATTTTGTGAAAAATCCCTCCAATGGATAATAATTTAAAGCAAGATACATTAGTAGGAGGTGAAATCTTTCAACTTCTAATGGACAAGAATCATGTTAGTAACTTTCAATCATCAAATACTGCTACCTATCTGTGATAATCTCAAACTTTATCGGCCACACACCTTAAAATGAATAAAATAGATGTACTGTCAACTACTAAAATTCATTTTCTTATTCAAACTTCATTAAACAAATGAAATTCGCAAGACATGGAGAAGTACCAATACCTGGGCTGAGTTACAGACCATATGGTATTTTTGCTACATCCTCACTAGTATCTAATTTCGGTCGACACTAGATTTTAAGTTCTTACAACCTAAGGTAACATATGCCTTTCGAAAAAGAAAAAAAAAAACTTTCGAAAAAGAACCTAAGGTAACATATTATCAACAAGGGATTCATTCAACAATATGTTCTTAATTCGTGTCACCGTCCTATGTTTCGCTTTCTATTTCATTTGGACTTACATGATCAAGGTCCTACATGACTACCATATGCAATAGGTTGCTGACATATTCCCAGCAACATCGGGCCCTTTAATTGAACGAGTTGTTCAGCGCCATTGAAGGGCGATTAGATCACACTTAATTCTACGACAATAAACACTCAGAACTAACCCAAGTTCAAAGATCCCTACTCAAGCCAAGGTAATGAAAGATCGATAAATCATAAATTAAACATATGAAAAGGTTGTAGTAAGGTGAAAATTTAACTTCTTTTTCCCAGATTAATAAGACCCAAGTGAGAAGCAAAATCCAGAATCTTCTAAAATGGAAAGGGAGAAATTATGGAAACTTTAGCTCTGCCACACTTTTTCACAAAAATGGAAGCATCAACTAAAAAAGGTTTAAATTTAATCCCTAAATTTCCATGTTTAATTTATTGTGGTTTCTAAGTTTTAAAGTTCCACCAGGCATGTTTTTTCTTTTCTTTGTTCAACTATTTGATGAGTATAGTAAGTGCTTAAAAAACCTACATGTTCTAAGTCAGTCGTCAAGTTTCCAAATAGATTTCAAAATTTTACAATGACTAAAATAGCTTTACAAGGTTCAAAGACTATAATAGAAAGTCTCTAAGTTCTGTGAATCCACTGAAGCAATTAAACTGAAGCAGAAATTCATGGTTTCTCAATCTGGTGAATGGTTTAAACTGATGTTCTTCCCCCACACACCACCACGAAGGAGAAACTATCTATGAAATTTAGCACCTCAAACTAGAAAAACTTCCCAGTTGCTATCAGCCGAGGTTTAACAACAGTTATATCAAATTACAATCTCAGTTGATCAGCTCTGGATCCGGGGAGACGAGATATCAACCAATTTTCCAGATAAAAAGTCAAAACGAGGAAAAAAAAACACAGAAACAGAGCTCATAGCAGTACCTAGATGGCCACGCTTAGCAGCAACATGAAAAGGGTGCATGTCAGATTTTGCCCTAATCTTCAGGATCTGGACAGTGGAGAATTTAAGCAAATAGCTAAAAACTTCCTCAAGATTATTCTCAGCGGCCACGTACAGTGCCGTCTGCCCAGCGTCGTTCTGCATCGCCATCAGATCGGTAACCGAGGAACCATCGGCCGGTTCATCTCCGGCCAGCTTATCCAAAACCTGTTTGATGGCCTCGAGGTCCCCAGATCGGACGACGGAGAAGAACGATTGGTGTGTGATGAAACGGAGAGCCTTCAAATCCATCATCCAACTCTCAACTCCTCCCCCCTTTCTCGAATCTCAATCTTCAGAAGCAACCCAGAAATCGAAGAAGAAAATTGGGTTAAAATTTTATTTTCGTTTCCCTTTCTCCCAACGAAGAATCCCGAATGTGAACCGAGTGGCGAGTGGAGACTTTAATCGAGCTTTTGCTTTCACTGTCGCCTGTACAGCGACTACAGTAGAACAGTAATAAAATGGGGGATGCTATTTTGTTTGTTTCCCGCGAATTTCGTCTTCACCGCAAAGAGAATTGGGGTGAATTTTCCGGGAAAATAACGAGAATTTAGTAATGGATTGTGCTGAAACTCGGAAAAAAGTCCATGTGATCAGCTGATTCTTTGAACTAATTACCGTGTCGCCTTCGCCAGCTGAAAAATCGCTGATGAATCTTTCCGCTTTCAGCTGAAATGATTCTTCATTTTCTTCTCTGCTGTCTAACTTTTCTTTTCATAGATTTAAATATGGTTTTGTGATCAGCTTTAATTCTCGAATCTCTGCCCTTAGACTTTTTTTTCCTATTTATTTTACTTTCTTTCAACTTTTAAATTCTTAATTGTTGTTTTGACATTTATTAAAATTTTAGTCACTTATGAAAAAAATATTGTTCTAAGTTATTAAAAATATGGTACAAGATTGTATGTATCTCTTAGTATTATTTTCGACTCACAATATTGGTTGTATTAAAAAAAATTAACAAAGATATTAATAAATTTTTTAAAAATTTATAAGTTTGAATTTATTTATAATGTGACATTGCTAATTAAAAAAATCATATAATATTCATAAGTAGCAACTAAATTGTTCATTATTAGACTAAATGTAGGGACTAGTAATAACTTTTAAAAGCTAGGATTAAAATAAAAAGTAGTTAAAAGTTAAAGATTAAAGTCAAAATTCTAAAAGTTTATGCAGGAAGAAAAAAGTAATAGTTCTAGTAGGAAAGGTTGAATTATTTTATGAATTAACATATATAATGTAACGAAAATTAACAATAATTTCTGGTATTTAGGCATGCGATAAAATTTTTTTATTATAATATTTAAAGGTGTGGATTCGAATTCACACTTTTATAGTCGACCGTAGATACTTCAATTGAACTATGCTTGAGAATGTGATTATTTGATTGGTGATTGATGAGATGAAAAATATTACTAGTACTGAAAATTAATATGTTGTGGCCCTTTTGGAATTTTACTTGGGGTGTTTAGAAGAATATGATCACCATAAATTTTGATCCACCAAATTCATTCCATATTTTTCGAGTTAAAATTGATCAGTTGAGTTATAAACTTATTTAAGTAACAAGGGTTCACGAGTTACCTAATATTGTAGTTTTTTTCTAAGAGAAGTTACTTAATAAGATAACACTAAACCACCTTAAATTTATTATTAAAAAAAAGTATTTTTATTATATTTAAAATATAAAAAAATTATAATGAATGATAAAACTTGCTGCGATATTTGTAAATTTACAAATATGATAAATTTTTCTCTCATATATCACTAATATACTATTTTCCATTATCGATAAAGTAAATCACGATAATATATCTAACCTAAGGTATATCTCTGATATACCATTTACACATGATAAAGTTGATAAGACTTGACTTAAGGTTAAAAAGGGTAGGTTCACATACTTAGTTGACGGTTATTTGGGATGAAAAATGTATGTTCATGCATATAATTTAGGAAAAATGTGCATAATTTGTGATTAGGGACTTTGGAATTCAGTTATACGTAAATGAAAGCTAATTTGTGTAAATATGCTTATTTTGTAAGGAAAAGTGAAGATTTATGATCACAATGCGTCAGACACATTGCAAGGCCAGAATTTCCAGCTTACTGGAGGAATCAGCGAGACAAGTTATTTTGAAAGTTCCAACCTCACAATGCTTCAGCCACATTCGATGCCTAGATTGTCAAAACGGGAATAACCACTCTTGACCAAGTAATTAGTCCAATATTTGGTTTTACTCCTAATATCTCTACAACAAGTGGTTGCCAACTTCCCTTGAATTTCTCAAATCCTTGTTACTTCCATGGCCTATAAAAGGAGCCTCCAAGCATCACTTCTTCACATCTCATTTTCCATGCTTTTGTTTTCCTTTCTACTTTAGTTTTGTAGTTTTTATTTAAGTTTTCTTTTCAATTATTTTTCTACAATTACTCTTGTTTATTTTATTGCAATTCAATTGGTTCCATTTTGTACTTTCTTTCCAATTCTAATTAAAATGCTTTCTTTTGTTATCTTCTCTTGTGTTTTAATTTCTTTCAATTTCATGAGTAGGTAAATTGTTTTTCCAACCCTCCTACGAATGATTTAGTTCTTATCACTATAAATTATATCTATCAGTGAACACGGCGTATTACGCTCTCTTTGCTTATCTTGATTGATAGAATTTATCTAGTTGATTTTTCTTGTTGGCCACTTATTTAAATCACATTAGTTTGAATTTAATTCTGAAAAGGTTAGAGTCAAACGGATCTCATCAAGGTAAACCGGGAAGTTACTTAGAAATAAGAACTAAAACAAGATCCTAGACATAGGATCTCTTACCCGTTAAACGTAAGTTGGCACTTGATTTATTTAGGATTCTAGAGTTGCATAGACATATGTAAACACTAGCCTAAGCTTCTAAACAAACCAAAAGCGGTATTGAATAGGAGTTGAACCAGTTTGCATAAATTGAATGAAATTACAGGCACATTTGGTAGATGTAATTCATCATTTTAGAACTAAACAGTAGTAGGGGGGTTGGCCTTTTAAATTCTGTTATTTTCGTGTGTTTTTCGTGTTCCCAACAATCTCACCAATTCTTATCACAAACCTGATTGCTCATTCCAACAATTTGCAAAATTAATTTTAAAAGAAAACTAGTCCCTGTGGAGACGAACTTGGAATATTTCGAGATTATTACTTGTGACAGTGTACACTTGCACTTAACCTCTAGCTATTAAGCTGAGGCGCAACAAAAGTATATACTCACTTATCATTTTTTATCATTAATAAAGTTTATCACTAATATATCAATATAAAGTATCACTTATATATCATACGTTGGGTGGTGGGTAGTGCGCATAAGAGGCATTGTCAACAGATGATACTATTCCATGCTATATATGCTATGCTACGCATATGTGTGATGGGCATTGTACGCCTAGGCATGCGACAGGTGAGGAGGTGAGGGGGTTGAGCACTGAGTGTATGTTGACATGCAGCGTGTGCTGTGTGCAAGTGGCATTGGCTGCATGGGCATGGGCATAGGCGCCTCACTTCGAGAGCATTTTTAATAGCCCATCTTTTAGAAGTTTACGATGGCGAGAGGTTACTTTAGATCTTGAAGCCTTGCGACAAGTATATGATAACCTCTTGGTTAGTTCCTCTTCAAGCTCGATGATCTCTCTCTACTCTTGTTGATAGGTTATTATATTGTGTTCCTTAGGTGTTGCGCATACTTGACAATCGTTGTTTGAAGCTTCTTTTGACACATAATCTAGTGATTGACTTTGAAGTAGAGATAGTAATCCTACGGTAAATATTAGTGTTTTAGGTTTAATTCTTTTAACGAGAAAAAGAAAGAAAAAATCTATAAGCCATAACATTTTCCCTTGGTACCAAACTTGTCAAAAATGATCAATCAATTCAATGACATCACAATGACACAACCTACACACCAATGTTTAGGAATACTATTTTTTTTCTATATTCGACGTGCTTCATTAATTATATGAGTAACCTTTTCAAACATGTTTTCCATGGAATATTTTACTGTTCAATACATTCTTAATTAACGTGTTTTTTAGTTCAATTCAAATAAAACGGTATAGATTCAAACTTAGAGATTAATGATATATTTATCAATTAAGTTATGTTCAAATTAATTATAATTACAATGTTTTTTTTAACTCTAGTATACTATAATCACATATGTTTACATCTCAATCTAACATTAGTTTAAAATGTGAATCATTGTTTCATTTGAATGTAATATAATAGGTGTATGCAACAATTTTAGTTCGAATCAATACTTAAAATAAAATAAATAAAATGGATTTATTATATCTTTTTTTATTCGAAAATTTGTATTTTGATAAGCATATGTGATTTTTTTTTCTTTTCCTAACTACATTCGCGCGAGATCCAATCTTTCATATTTGGAAATTTTTCTGTCAAACATATAACTTTTTTTGTTTTGAAGCAAGTCAAACATATAACTTAATTGTTTGAAAAAAAAATTCATTGCTAATATTTTTAAAAAATCAATTTTAACTTGAACATATATTTTAAAAAAAATCATTAAGATTGTTGTTGAAATTAAGAAATAAATGATTGGATGACTTCTCAATAATTTGTTTTTTCTTAAATGAAATGACGTCTTTTTAATGTCATAGGTTATATGTGCGGTTAGGTTTAAGTTGGAATTTTTAATAGTCAACATTTTTTTAATCAAATGAGGTGAGGTGGATATATAACATTCAAAATATGTTAAGACTAAAGAAAATAATATTTTTCAATGTTGGGTTGTTATTTCTTTATTAAGTAGTAATAATAATAATAATTATTATTATTGTTGTTGAAATTCAATCATGTTTGAATTTCCAACCTTTAACTTTTGAAAGGCAATGGTAATAAAGGTTATTTTTGAATTGACTAATTTCTAAATTAACTTTAAAATATTAGTAATGAAATTAAAATAGCCTAAATTTTAGGCATAAACTATATATTTAGCATTTTAAAACTAACTAGCATGATTCTAAATCATTTATAATTTAGTTTCTGCATGGATCAAAATTGTACTGAAAATACATGATTCTAAATCATTTATAATCTCAAATTTATTATTAATTGATGTTATTAAGGAAAAAAAATCTTTTTTACCGATAAACTGAACTACAAATATCCTTATTAATGGATGCCTCCTTGCAAAGGGTGAAAACATGGTTCTAGGAGAGCAATACTTAATTATTCATGTACAAGATACACTTAGACTAAAAAAAACTCGTGTCGTTCAAAAATTAAATAATATATATGTATGTATATTTATTAATTAATAGGTGGATCCATCGTATCTTAGAAACCATCTCTAAAATTTAAAAAGTACCTAATAAATTTTTATGCTTTCAATGTTAATGCTTGAGCTTTCAATATTGTATCAGTTCCTAACTTTTGATGTTGTGCCTAACATTAATAGATGTTTGTATTTTTTAAAAAGATGTCTAATAGGTCGTCATAGCGTATTAGATATAGAATTAAAAGTTTAAGAACTTATTAGACATCTTTAAAGTTGAAGTTGAAGGACATATTTAGATACAACATTGAAAGTTTAGGAACCTATATATTTGACACATCTTTTAAACTTTTAGACAAGGGTGTAAGGAACCGAATCGACCTAAACTGGTTTGGGTTGGGTCTAATAGTTATCGGTTCACTGCAATTTTAACCAAATAGAACCAAATGTTTTGTCGACGAGCCAACGGCAGACACGCGACAAAGACCCAACCCTACTTGATTATATTCGGGTCTAAATCTAAAATCTTCTCGGTCGATTCGAGTTTTCATATTTTCCCCACAACCTGATTCAATTGCACTTCTAATTTCGGAGAGTAATTAGACACCAATCTAAAAGTTGAGATTAAACTTGTAATTTAACCTATATTTACCTTAATACTTACTTTTTAGTATATATTTTTTTAATCACTTCAGTCTCTATCATTTAGAGCTGGTTGATAAAATTTTTAGATAAAATTTAGTGGTGGGCCAATTGGATAAATTGAGCAAGTCTTCTGTCAAAATTAATATCATTCGGTAATGTCTATTGGTGAAATTTATTGGTATTACAGGGATTAAAATGAAAACTTAAAAATAACATAGGGATGAAAGTATAATTAATCTGATTTATTATTGGTAGATTTATATGGCGTGGGTTCCATTATTATTATTCACTAACATGCTTTGCATGACTGCATTCAATTTTTCATGTGCTCCATTTGACGCGCAATTTCTTTCTCTCTCTAAATTTGGAAAATCAAATTCCATGGGATTTCAATCTGTTACAATCTCCAATTACTTCTCGGATTCTGTTTCTTCCAAATCTCGCTTCTCTTTCGCCCCACCCATATATATCTCCGATTCCTCCCCGATTCCGTATCTGTTCCTGCTCCTCATTCTCTAATCGATCCAGTTTTTGTTCCAATTTTTCAATCGATCCAGTTTTTTTTGCCCTCGGAGTCCGATCGAGCTTGTTTTTCATCGACATTGACGGAAACTGAAGAGGCAGAGCAAAGGAACAAGGCGAATCTGTTGATTTTTCTGAGGTGAAATTATGGGATTCAAATCACTCTTCTCACGGAAGAAGAAATCGGATGCCTCGAGCGATTCGCCGCCTGGATCTACGGCGGTTCCGGTGCTTGGATCTCGAACGCCGTCTTTCAATTGTCGAACGCAGATCGCGGAACTGGAGCAAGTATTCAAGAAATTCGATGTGAACGGCGACGGCAAGATCTCCTCCTCTGAACTCGGATCCATTATGGGGAGCCTAGGGCAGCCGGCGACGGAGGAGGAGATTCAGAACATGATCAAGGAGGTGGACGCGGACGGCGACGGATTCATTGACCTCGACGAATTCATCGAGTTGAACACCAAGGGCGTGGATTCCGAGGAGGTGCTGGAGAATCTGAAGGACGCATTCTCCGTCTACGACATCGACGGAAACGGATCGATCACGGCGGAGGAATTGCACGAGGTGTTGAAGAGTTTGGGGGACGAATGTTCGTTGGCCGATTGCCGGAAGATGATCACCGGCGTCGACAGAAACGGTGACGGTATGATTAGCTTCGATGAATTCAAAGTCATGATGATGAGCGGCTCTCGATCACACGGCTTCGGTGGTTAAAAAATTGTGCTAATGAATTAATAATTATGATTAATTAGCTATTTTAGCTTAACATTTTCCATTCCCTCAATTATCTAGTTTAGGAATCATTTCCATGTAATTGATCCTAATTTTAATTAAAAAAGAAAAATTAGTAGACACTAAAAAATTACTATTCTTTTTATTTTTATTTTTTTAACTTTGAATATGGAGTTGTTAAAAAGTTAATGGGGTTAGTTAGGACGGTAGACCTATCAGTTTGCCTCTCCCAAAATTTGGTTTTTATTTCCTAATTCATCCTTATTCATTTACGCATTTCAATAATAAAGAAAGAAAGGCAATGATACAAAATTTTTAATTTTTTAATCTGTTTTCAAAATAATTATTTTTAGACGGTAGAGGGTTGCATTATAACAATGGGGTTTTTTTTTTAATTGAAGAGTAATGATAATAATACAATTAGATCAAATAATTACAATTATTAAAGTAATTAGTCAAGGAATTCAATGGGGTGGACAAGAGGGAAGGAAATAAATGAGCCCAAATTTGGTATTATTATTTTGGTGCTGTTTTGTACATTGATTTTGCCAATGAAGTGGAAATGGGTCTTTTTCTTAATTGCTAATTTCCCATTCTTATGGTTCACTATAATTGGCTCACTTTTTAAGTAAAATCCATTCGAAATTGAAGTAATTTATCTTTTGGTTAAGTGGGATTTTTTTTTTTGTCAAAAATAGGATAAAATTGGAGAAATTGAAAAGTTTTGGGACAACCTTTTTATTAAAAAAAAAATTAGGAGATTTAGATGTGAATTTTACTTATCTCTATCATCTCTACATATTTATCATCTTCCCTTTCTTTTTTTTTCTGGACAAAAATCCTTATTTTTGATGTAGCGTATTCTTACTTAAAATCCATACAAATTTTAAGTAATTTTTAAAAATAAATGCATGATCAAAATTATTCATTTGAAGGAGATTTTATTTCTACTTCTATTAAAGCAAATGGATCAAATATTTTTTTTAACATGTTAAATTAATGTGTGGAGTAAAACCAATGACAAGACAACTAGACAAGATAAATAATCTTTCAGTTCATAAAATTGAATATATATATAAAATTCAAATAAAAAATTTTACCTAGGTTGGAATTTAGGTATATTGTGTTGGTTCTAAGCTGTTTTCTTTGCCAGATTTTGGGGATTCGTTGGTTGGTTTTTGTAGGGCTTTTTTAATTCAACACATGGGAATTAGATGCCTTTATTATGCTGTGTTGGCAATTTTTATATGATTTCTTTACTTAATTTGTAATGGTATAGTAGTTTTCACATAGATAAAATTTTTGTACCGATGTTTTTATTTATTAAAAATATAACAATTAAAGTCTTATTTGAGAATTATTTTATTTTTTGTCTTATGTTTTAAACAATTATACTTGAATTCTAAGTCAAATTTAGAAAATAGAACTAATATTTTAAAATTATTCACCTACATGTTCATCTATTTTGTTATATAATTTTTTTATAATTATTTTCAGAAATTAGGCAAAATTTCGAAGAAAAAAAATTTAGGCACTTGTTTTAGTTTATGAAATTGGACTAAAATTTCAAATATGTTTTTCAAGAGGGATGAAAACCTTACCAATAAAATTGTAGAAAAAACAAGTATAAATTAAAAAAAACATGAAACTAAAAACGAAATGATTTTAATAATTACAAGAAAGTTTAATGGATAAATTGTTATGTATATGAAAGTATAAAGATGATATTTAGATATTTAGTTAAAAAAGTGATTATAAAAGATGGACTTACCAACGACACATGATATTAAATTTTCATCGACATGTTAACATTTTCACACATTTATGAATTCACGTTGACATTTTTATTATATCAACATAATATTAATACTAAAAAAATTTAAGTTAATTTCATTTGAGTAAAAAAGAAAAAAGCTAAGTCATTTAAAAAGGTGAAAGGCATATTTATGTTAAAATATATTAAAAAATTTGATATCTCAAAACTAAAATTTGCTTTCCAAATTTCTGATTGCAAGTAGCCTAAACAGTAGACACCGGAAGCACTGTGGAGAGCAAAAAAATGGCTGCTTCGAAGATAGCAATGGCTTCTCTATCGCTAACCCATTTCCGGCCATTATCCTCCGCCTCCACGGCCTCCATGGCTCCTTCTTCCTCCACGAGGCTGATTCCACGTCCACCGGACCTAATCAACTGGGTGCGGAGAGAAGGCGGGTTCGTCCACCAGGCTGTGAAAATAGCTCAACATGCTGATTCTGGCCTTGGACTCGTCGCTTCCGACCACATTCCGACGGGTTCTGAACTCATTGTCCTTCCTCACAACCTTCCCTTGCGCTTTGAGTCGCCGGAAGCCGGCGATTCTGACGAGGCCGACTCCGTTCTAGTCAATTTGGCTCGCCAAGTTCCTGGTAACACCTCGATTGAGCCGCGTTTCTTGCTCATTTTGTATGGGAAGTTATGTCTCTGTGATGAATTGCTTCTTGTGATGTTTTTCTTTCTCGCATTTTTCATCTTGGTCTGCGTTGATTTTTGTACCCTGAATTTCGACTGGGTTTTCAAGTTGTAGCTACTACGGGTTCCTGAGCATTTGTGTCATTATTGTTTCTTTTACTTACCTAATAAATCCTGTACCACGTTTCATTATTTTTTTGAAAATGGAAGATGTATAAAGTATAAACCTAGTAATTCAATAAGATGACCTCTTGTTCATATCCATGGTAAAGGTACAAGTAATAGAAATTTCATTTTTGGGGTTGTTAGAAAGATGAGTGGGATGGTATGACAAGCCACAAATAACATATAATTTTACATGAAAACCCATTTTCGTAGATCGATTGTGAGATATCTATACTAAATTAGTAAATTGTGCTGGGGTATCCATTTTTAGTGCATATATACGAGTTGTTCTATTGATGTTTGAAATAAGATTTTTATTTAATATGATTGAACGTGGTTGTATTCTTCTGGTGAAGAAATTAAGAAATTCAAAAGATTTTTGGTTTCTGTTCCATTTATAAAAGACCGTAAAAAGAGAGGATTAGAAAATGTGATTCTAATGGGCAAAAGCTTTGAGTAATATGATTTGCCAAAGCTGAATGTCCTTATTTATTTGCCCTGAAATTAAATTCAATCTCAGTAAGATGGTTTCGTACGACTTGTACTCAGATTGTCAATGTGATAGCCAAAGGCTATTGCTAATATTTACTTCCTATTATACATTACAAAGAATATTCCATAAAACTTGAGCTGCTTGATATTCTCCTCTTTTAACTCATATATCTTCTTACCTCAATAATTCCCTTTTCCCCCTATCATTGGCTATTACCTGCCAAATTGAAAGCTCTATATTGTGATAGCAGGTTAATACTAACATAGGATTTTTATAATTGGTCAAGGCTGATAACCTCATCCTTCCACATTAGGTTTTATGTATTGTTAATCTGAATTAAAATAAATTGGACACTGGAAGTATTTGGCAGAGGAACTTTGGTCCATGAAATTGGGTCTGAAGCTTCTGAAAGAAAGGGCAAAAGTTGGATCCTTCTGGTGGCCGTACATTGGCAATCTCCCTGAAGTTTTCAGCATTCCTATATTTTTTCCTGGAGAGGATATAAAGAATTTGCAGTATGCTCCTCTTCTTTACCAGGTCAGTTATTTGTTAGATTGAAAGCCAATGTATGATGCTGTAGTCAACCATTGATAAAGATGTAGTCAGGGTTAATTGTTGTCTGAGAAGAAAGAAATCCTTTCAGATCTCTGTCTGTCTCATACTTCCAACTAATTAGTCATTGATACCAAATAAAGTCTGTTCATGCTGAAGATAAAGGTGCTTACCAGGTAAACAAAAGGTGTCGCTTCCTTCTTGATTTGGAGAAAGAAGTCAGACGTACTCTTGATAGTGTGAAGCCGGAACATCATCCTTTTGGTGGCCAAACTGTAGATGCATCATCCCTTGGGTGGGCAATGGCAGCGGTCTCGTCAAGGGCATTTCGTTTATATGGGAAAAATCTCATGGATGGTACCCCTAACAGTGTCCCCATGCTGCTCCCCCTCATTGATATGTGTAATCATAGCTTTAATTCAAATGCACGTATAGTCCAGGAACAAGATGCAGGATCCATGGAGTTGAAAGTGAAGGTGACGTTTTGTGTTTTCCTGAGTATTGATTTTCATATGCTTGAAGACACTGGAAAATAAGTTGCCCTGCCAAGTAAATCCATTCTCTATCTTAGCCGTGCACCTCTTGTTTGCTTTGATACCAGGTTGTGGCAGACACTGAAATTGAAGGAAATGTTCCGTTAACACTAAATTATGGATGTCTGGACAATGATCTTTTCCTGCTCGATTATGGATTTGTGATACCATCGAATCAGTATGATTATATTGAGCTGAAATATGATGAAGCTCTCTTAGAAGCTGCTAGCATTGTTGCAGGAATTTCTTCCGACAATTTTTCTTCTCCTGCCCCATGGCAAAAACTTCTTTTGACCAAGCTAAATCTACGTGGAGAAACTACTCTTCTCAAGGTTTTGCTTCCACTTAACTTCATTTCTCTACCTCTAGTCAGTGCTTTCCTGTGAAAATAATTACCTACTGGAGCAATGTTTTGTTGTCACTAAACTTAATATCTACAAAAATAGCTCTTTTTGTTATATTTCTCCCAAACCTTGTTCTCAAGACCATATTACCTGAACCTTCAATTGGTTTCAGAAATGAGAAACAGCCAAAGGATTTTGTTTCAAAATGAGCACCTCAAGGAAGGAAAAAAAAAAGTTTCTACCTGCCCCCACCCCGACAATATGAAACAATTTTGTCAAATGGGGAAGTTTAGTAGACATACTTTGGAGGTGATTATGCCTCAATTTGAAATGTTTAATAGATATATATTATCACCTCTATTAAAAGGAAAAGGGGAAAATAATACAACCATTTGATAATTAAAACTTAATCCCCACCCTTACATGTTGTACTAAAAAAAAATTCTACTTTTAAAAAATGAAGTGTTGAACAAATGTTCAAAGGAAATAAACTCCTAAGAGGAGTGAAAAACTGAAAGAAAAAGGTAATATAAAGCTCCGGAAAGATTGCAAATCTTTCAAACCCAAGGCCTTTGCATGCCCTCCAAACATGAAACCATGAACTAACAATGGTGATAAGAAAGTCCTTCAAGTCTTGCTTTGGAAATAGATAGCGAAAAAATAGACCTCTGCATAAAAACTGCATGCTATTATAACCAATAAGCTACCAAAAGCAACCACTTGCCAGACATTCAAACATCAGTGAAGCTGAAAAAAATAGAAAGATCTTCAATAATGTCTAAAAAAATCAATTGGACCTTTCAAAGTGGAAGAATGACATGAAAGGAGGAAGAAACAACCCAAAATCACTTCGATCATCACAATGATCTAAAGTAGAATCAATACCACTAACACCGATTTTCTAATCCTCACTAAAACCCGAAAACTCATCTTCTAAAGTCTTTGACAATGCCATCATTTGTTGAATGAATAAAACTTTGAGAAAGATTAATCTTCCTCAAAACATGATAATTTTCAAAGGAACCCAAAATAACATTTTCAAAGGATTTAGCTCAACATTGAAATTTCAAGAAGAGTGATCCCTACTACTTCAAAATATCGAAAAAAGTCTTCCTTTTCTTTGCTAATGAGAGAATGATCAATTCTTTGACCAGTAGAATCTCTTGATTGATTGGGAGTATTGGGGAGGAGTATTTTCCTTGTTGGATATGGGACTTTATCATTGCCTGTGGCACCTTGATGAGGATGCAATCTGTAAATACAGCCTTGTTTAACGGCTGCTTAATTAATCAGCCTAACGGTTGTTAGTTAGTTAGGATAATGGCTAGTTAAGCCTAACGTTTGTTATTCGGTCGTTATCGGTTAGTTAGAGGGTTGTTACCTTGCTTGTTGTATAACTACTGGATCGTTTAGCTGCTGTAAAAACTATTGATGAAATAAAAAAATCCTTCCTACATATGTCCTACATTACACCCTCTGTGAAGCCACACAATTGAATTGAAGATCTCAGCAGTATTGCGAGAAGTTATGACCACATTTTTCTTGATCTATTTCTGTTTGTCTATTTTTGTAATAGGTGTGCGTCGGTGGTCCAGAAATAATTGATGGCCGCTTATTGGCAGCTTTAAGAGTGCTGCTCTCGGTTGATGAAGAAATGGTACAGAAACATGACTTGAACGTGCTCAAATCTTTATCAGCTGAAGCACCTCTTGGTGCTGGAAATGAAATAGCTGCGTTACGTACGGTAATTGCTTTATGTGTGATTGCATTGGGACACTTCCCGACCAAGATAATGGAGGACGAAACCCTTCTGAAAAAGTGTGAAAATGAATCAACTAAATTAGCAATCCAGTTCAGAATTCAGAAGAAATCAGTAATCATAGATGTGATGAGCAACCTCACAAGAAGAGTGAAGTTGCTTTCATCAAAGGTGGTCTCTCAGGGTTGATAATGATGGTATAATGTACTATCTCTGACTTATTTATCCTCAACTATATCATTATGAAAATGGTTATTATCTTTCCCTCGTTTGTTTTTTTCCGTACCACCTCCCAATATTCCATTGCTTTGCCCGTATACAATTCTTTCCTGATCATGATAGTGATAACAAAAATGACCCTAAATTATAAGGTTGTTACAATCCTATTCTTGAACTTTCAATTATATAAAAACTCGATAAACTTATGAAATCATTGTAATTAAACCTTACTATTACAACTTCATTGGTAGTTGGGTTTAAATTGCCACCATTTTGAGAGTTTAATTCTAATAACCCCTATAGCTTCACGTGCTAATTGTAAAAAATCATTTTATTTTAGGGGTAGTTTGTGCATTTTTCCAAACTACCTCTTAAGGCTGGTTGCTCAAATTGAAAGTTTGTTTTTCATAAATTTGGGGCTGGTTGCTCAAATTGAAAGTTTGTCTGAGTGATTGTAACAACCTTTATAATTTTGGTTTTTTTTTTTTTTTCACCTTTTGTCTTGAATTCACTTTTTTCTCTCTGGTAAGATTTCTATGCTTGGTCTACTTTATATGGTAAACTTTCTCTGGCATCTACTATCTACTTTATATGGCGTGAGAATATCATCTCCTGAGCATAATTTTCAATTCTTGGTCTATGTCCACCAACCTTTTTATGTTTTCCTTTCCCTAGGCAGAAAAAGTTAGATGGTGAAGAATTTAAGCAAATCGGTTGGAGTTGAAGCCATAACAAAACTTGGAATGGTTCTTTACTCAGAATTTGAACTCCTGAGGCAACATTGGTGGGAGAGACTAAAGCACAATTTGCAGAGACCCAATTGAAAAAACAAAAGGTTAGTGACAGCACTTCCTAGTTACCACCTCAGATTCCTAAAGGTGTGTCGAATGAGACTTGCATGCTTTGTGACATAAAAGAACATATATAATAACCATTTTTCCTTTTATGTTCTTTCTGTGATTATGGTTATTCTTGCTGCATGTCATCTCTCTCCCTCTGCTTCACCCTCTCTCTCTAGACATATGACATGAGGAATAAGTTATCCCTTCAAATTTCTGTGGGATTTGCACTTTGGTTGGAGCTTGCTTGCTTTGACATAACAGAAATATAAAACTATTTCTCTCTCTCTCCCTCTATCTAGACACATGACTTAAGACATAAGGAATAAGTTTGAACTTACAACACAGCCCAAGTAGATGCTTGTGGAATGTCTATGCAAACACTTTTTAGTTTTGAAAGAGGCACTACTTGATCAAATGATTCCTAAGAAAGTTATATTTAGTGGGCATTTGTGGAAAGAATGTGGGTATGATTCTGAGAATATGGACAAGTTGGGTTTGGTTCTTAGGCCTGCTGCTATTTTTCCTTTTAGAAATATTCAAAGTGGTCTTTTCTTATCTTTTTGTGTGATTTTTCCCTATTGTGTAATGCAAATATTCTTTGTGTAAATAAGAGCAATCGGGACCAAGATTCTGAGGCCATCATTGCCTTATGGGTTAAGAGTAGGGATGAATAACATTTACATTATTATTATTTTGAGAATGTGACATTTACAATTTGGGTGGATGGAAATGAAAGATTGTTGGGAGCATTTGTTTATTTATTTTTGTATAATAATTGGAAAGGTACATTTTTTGTTGTAGGTTTGACGCAATATTCATCTTGGTCCCTAATGTTTGAAACTCAACATTTTTTATTATGAGGTTTTGAAAATTTTCAATTTTGGTCTATGCCTTCAGTTTTTCATTAACTAGAGGAATAGATGGCTGATTGGGATTGGGATTTTTTTCTCGAGTTCAACGACATGTGGGGATGAAGATTTAAACTTTAGTATTTTTAGTCGGGATACATGTCTTAACCAATTGATACTCAGGTTGATAATTTTTTTTATTAATTCTTTAAACCTAATGTGATATTAGTATATTAAATTTATATCTATGGTGTTTTTTACTTTGACCAAAGTTTTAAGTTAAATTCTTCTCACCGATTAAGTTAATGAAACTTGTTTATATTGTTTATCAACTTGAAATGAATTAGGATTTTTTTTTCCCTTTCACCAAGTTTAGGAATGCAGGGTTTGTCTTTGTGGGCGTTATTCGAGGAATTAAATAATTGAGAATGAAAAACCATAATATAATAGTTTCTATGTTGCTATTAAATGAATCTTTAAATTGAAGAAATACTGTGATTTTTTTTTTCTTTTCAAAAGTTAATTTTTGGATCACAAACGAGACGAAATCTTGGGACTTGAGAGATCTTTTTAAAATTGTTTTTTGAAATAAAGTCAAATTGAAAATATATTTAGCTTGTTTTTCTTATTTTTATTTTAGTGTGCCCTCAACTTTCAAGGATGACTTATTTTTTAAACAAAAAGGTCATTAATCTTTCTAGCTCATTTGTTCATGGGGATTGTAACGTCCACAATAATATTAATTATTTTTAAATATAAAATAGAAAATAATTTACTTAACAAATTTTTGAAATAATTCCTTAAAAAGATTATCTCTGAATGAGTTTGCAAATTATCTCTATTTTAAATAATCTAAATAATCTTTAAACTATCTTTATCTTTTATTTATTGTTATTTCTTCTCGAGTGAACAATTTGAACTATCAACTTTACCTATGGTTATGTACCTTATTTATTCGAACTATGCTTAAATTGACAATTGACAGCGGTTGAATGATCATATAAAATGCTGATATGGATTTTTAGAAATATCACAAATTCCTACTATGTTTTATATTACATTTTTTCCTATATTTAAAAATACATATTTATTTTATGATATTTATGAGCGAACTTGATATTTAACATTAATTTTATAGTTTTAAAGTTGAAATAATAATTTGCAATCATAATAACAATTGTACTCTGTATTCTTTTCTAAAAAGATAAAGTAAATAAATATAAGAATGGTAACCAAAATCATATGAAATCTTAAACAATTATGTTGTGCCAAATTTAGAAAGTAAGTGACCAAATTAAAATTGTGCATCATGTAACAAACATTTCCATTTTGGTTTTTATTAAAAAAAAAAATCTATTTAGGTCGTTCTAGCCTAATCTCAACCGTTTAATAATATTCAACACATAAGTTGAAATTGCCAAAAGAAAAAAAAAGAAAAAAAAAATCAGTGACGATTTGATCAATAATCTTAGTTTGATTTTATAAAATTTAAAATTAACTATTTTGATCTTTATGCACTGAACTAAATCACATATTATTTATAAATAAATATATATATTATTTTGTTATGTTATTAACTTAAAAATTCTCCATCATCTTTTTCGTTCCCTCTCTTTCATTACAAAATAATAATAAATAATAATAATTTGATCCACACAACAGAATCGATTATTGAAATTTTCAAAATTCCGCAGGCGGAAGAAGTTGGTTCATGAATCCTTCGAAAAGAGAGTGATTCTCAGAGAAGAAGAAGAAGAAAAAGAAGAAGAATAAGAAGAAGAAGGCGGTGCCGCCATATCCTTAAAGGTTCGAAATCCTACACCAGAACTATGTACTTCTACATCCCTTTCAAACAAGAATCTAGGGTTTTTGCAGAGCAGGGGAAGGGGAAGGGGAAAAGGGGAGATTAATTTGGATACGGCTACCGATACCGACCTGAAGTCTGGCAGCGACCTAATTTAGTTCCCGACGGAGATAGGCCTCTCGGCGGCGAGGCCTAAGGGCGAGCGCGATCGCGACTTGGAAATGGAGATCCCGCGAAGAAGAAGATGCGTGGTCATCTCGGATTGCTGCAGCGACGGGTGCTTGATCTTCTCGATCTCTCTCTTGATCTTGACGACTTGGATGTGAACCGGGACCTGGGCATCGGAATCGCCATCGCCGGCGGTCTTCTCCATTTTCGGCGAAACGAAAGAAACAGAGACAGGCGAAAAGGGGCAAAGAAACAGAGAAGAAAAAGGAAGAATTTGGAGAAGTCGGAGACGACTCTTAAAATGAAACCATATTTTTGCAGAGAGAGAGAGAGAAGATTTTACGTATAAATTGTTGATTCTGTAACCATCTTTATCACTGTATCCCTAATAACCTTTACAGGCCAGATGGTTGAACCTTTTTTTTTTTATTTATTTATAAATTACTCTCTCGATTTTTTCCCTTTTTGGGGTTTTATAGGTAAGTCAACTTCGTCAATATCATAATTATTTCTAATAATAAAAAAACATCTTGTTTTAAATATTCAACTTTTTGTTCAGTTTGGTATTTAAAACATTTATTTTGTTACAAATTTTGTAAATGAAAATCCATATCAGGATGACATGAGGAAGACAGTTCTCCTAATCGATTATAATTCATCATAATGAACATTCTGCTTAAAAACTAATAAAAAAACGACTAAGACAAAGACTAAGACAAAGACAAAGACAGACATTTTGAAAAATACAAGATTAAATTGAACAAAAAAAAATATATGGACTAAAATAAAATAAAGTCGTTTTTAATAAAATATGTGGGGTGGAGTTTCCTTAAAAAAAATGTGGGTGGAGGAATTCGAGTTTAATAGTTAATGACAAACACCAATCGCCAATTACCGATGAGCTAAGTTTATATTGGCAAAATAAATTTAAGATCTTGACCTCGAAATATATGTTTACATCAATTTTAGCAAGTTTAAGTCTAGGAGAGAGTTATAGACTATAGGTCATTTTCTTAAAATATATTTTTTGTTTTTTCTAGTTTTGGAGAAATACATGTGTTTTGATAATGATTTTGTTTATTGTTTCTCGTTATTAAATAATTTTCTCAAATTATAGGTAAATTTTGGAAATAAAATAATATGATGGCTTGTTTCAAAAAATTCCAAAATCACGAATGGAAAGCTTATTTTTATTTATTTATACAATGCACGGTGAATATTACAAAAGTTAAGTACAATAGTTCTAAATAATTAGTTTGGTTAAATTATAAGTTTAGTACGCGAACTTTTAGATTTGTGTATAATGTTGTTCAATAACTTATTAAACAATTTTAGAATCACGAGATTTTTTTCTAGTACAACAATGAGAGGTGCCAATACGATGGACGGTTACCAAGTATAGAATTATACCGTATCTTTTTTCTAGTACAAGTGAGATGAGAGATTTAAACTCATGATCTTTTAATTAGAGACTCATGTTGGAGTCGGTCTAGAAACATAGAGGTTGATATTTATATATTTTGGTTCAGTTTCATTTCATCAAACCTTTATCTAGAAAATAAATACATTAAAACTATAAATATGTAAATATAGATAATCATCAAAATGAGGATAAAGTTCCTTATTAAAAAAATGAAAAATAAATTTGTATTATCGTCAATGGAGATAAAGCTAAACCGTGAGTCCAAACAGCTCCAAATCGGTTGCCGGTTAAGGCTGGGTGTCCACTTGGCAATATCCAGAGAAGTGGATTCCAAATCCGGCTTTGGGCTACCGGATGTGCCGGTTTTAACTTCCACTGTTGTGATTGGGAAGCATAGGTTCTTTCTCCACGTGGAAGAAACTTTTTCTTTTTCCTTTTCTTTTTCCTTTTTCCTTTAGTTGTTTGGGTCTTTTGATTTGGGCTTTGGAGAATAACATATCTTTGGGCCTCTTTTAGTTTTTTCTTTCCCTCCCTTTTCTTATTAAATTTTAAGTGATATTTTAGTTTTTAATCTTGAACTTTATTTCATTTTAATCTCCCAACTCTTAAAAAATCTATTTTAGTTTCTAAAGCTTAAAAAAATAAAATTTGAGTCTTTGCCGTATTATTTGGCCACCAAAATTTTGGTTACCTGATACTAATACTGACTGTCAACCTATATGATTTCAATACATGCTCATGTTAACATGTTAATTATATACATATTTGAAATCATGTCTTTTACGTCTTAGAATTAAAATAAAGGTAAAGGATAAAATAGTTACTTTTCTAAAGTTTATAAATTAAAAGAGAAAAGTCAGGAGACCGTAATAAAACAAATTTGAAAGTTTAGAAATTAAAATAAATATTACGAAAGTTGATAGCAAGATAAAATAATCTTGAAAGTTAGAAGACCACATTTTATATCTCAGCAAAAAATATATTATTTAAATATATTTAAAACGTGTCTGAAAGTAGATGATTCAATTTGTTATGCCTCTATCTACCATATTTTTTTAGACGGAATGCGAATGAGATAAAATCAAAACGAGAATCAATTGAAAAGAAAATTTATATACTTGTAATTTTAATAAATTTTGGAACTGTATTGAAATCATTTTGAAATTGGAATTAGAATGGAGAGGATTATCATGGATATTGTTTACAGTATCTGAATTATCAAAGTTAAAATAAAATTAATATATTTACTCATTCATTTCTATGATAAATGAGAGAATTCGTATTTGAATATGCTTCAAATATGTATAAAAGGAACCAGAAGTTTTAGGTATCATTTCTTGCATAATTTTGACAATATACGTTTCAACTTCAAAATTTAAAATATGGTAGGTCTGAATTATTCCCATATTTATGTGTTTTTCCTCTTTTATTTACATATTTTGTGTTTGTTTTTTTAAAATTTTCCAGTCTTACGTTTAATTTGGGATTTTTTAAAAAGAATTTTCTTCATTTGTTTCTTAAATTTCGGATTTGCATAATCTTTTTTTTTTCTTTCAACCTTACATGTGATTTTAAAGTTTTTTAATTTGAGATTTGTTGTTTCGGTTTTTTATTTTAAAATTTTAATTCAATACGAACTCAATTGTTCTTTTTTTTTTTTTTTTTTTTATAAATATATATTTTTTGTAATCATATTGGTATTATTTATATATTAGGATTGGAGATATCTCTTCTTTTGAACCCTTACTTTATCMTTTATCTAATTTATCTAAATGGAATTTCTGATAAAAGTTTTTATCGATTTTATAGATATCCATCGATATATCTAGATAATTATATATATCGAGATAATTAATTATGTATATAATTTTTTTCCCTTTTTCTTTTTCTTTTTTATTTTCAATACATTTACCAGGTATTTACCCTCTATTATACATATGATTAGTTTACTACTATTTTGTACTATTTTTAAATTTCTATTTAATATGAATGTTTTTAATTAATATATTTATCCTATTCTCTTGTTTATATTGGTTTATATACAATGTATCTATTCCATATCTACTTCATATATGTTGGTTTATATTGATTCTTTTATCTGTTATTGTTATATACATTCATTATATATATTACGATGCTCATTTTTCTGTATTTGCTAGTTGTTTTATTTGATGACATATTTTTCTACCATTTTACTAACTTAATTGTTAAGTACATTTTTCTTTGATGACGTAAAGCACCTTAAAAAAACAATAAAAAGTATATATGCATATATAAGTAATTATAGTTTAATAAAAAAAACCCTTTTTTTTTCTTTTTTCGATAGTTTTGAGTTGGTTAAACTCAATCCAAACTAATTTTATGAGAATTTTCATAAAATAACTCAACAGATTAGAGTTTAACTCATTTAATAAACCAAATCTAGGCCAAACAAATGTAATAATTTTCTTATTGCTCCAAATGGATCATATTTCCAGGTCTTTTTTTTTTTGTTTTTTTTTTGACAACATAATTTCCAGGTCTTTAAACACTCATAGGTCGGTCCTAATAGTTGAATATATATATGAAAAAAAGAATATTGGTTAATGGTTTGGCCTAAGAGAAATCAACCAAATTGAATTCCAAAATTACAATTTTCTTCTTTGCGAGAAGCAGAATAAAATTAAAACTGGATGGAGAACCCACAGGATTATTTATGGATTTTTGTTCATTTTAATTTCATGTAGACTAATATTATATTACATAGTTGAAATATTATTGGCAGTATTTTAAATTTTTAATATTCAATATAGAGATAAAGAATTTTACTTTGAATAAAATCAAACAAACATTTATCTAATCAGTATCACATATATGAATGTGGAAATTTTAGTACATTATCTTTATGAATTTAATAACAGTCCGAAAAAAAAACTTTATGAATTTAATGGAAAAAACATTCATTAACGTTTTTGTTTATTGTTTCTTATTTCAATTAAAAAAATAAAAAATAGATGCAGTTGCTAACTTTTCTGGAATTTTCCTTTCATTGAAAAAATAAACATAAACATGGTTGGTTAATCATTTCTTATTTATGGTTCTTTAACATTTTAATTAAAAGAGAGAGAGTTTCTATATTAAATTTAAATGTTTAATTTTAATTGTTATATTTACTTTTTAATAGTTATTATATGTCTTTTATAAGTTAATAATGATAAAATAATATTTTTATTTATGTTTTGGAAAAAARGCTGAAAATGGAACTTGATTTTGTTGTTTCTAGAATTTCCATACAAATTTGGAAACGTTTCTTAAAGAAGAAAAATGAGAAATWGGAATCATTATCAAACGTTTATATTTTTAAAAATCTAGAAACTTGGAAATAAGAAACAAAGAATWGAAGCCATTGCCAAACCCAACCTAAACAAATAAAAGCGTAACTAAACCTATGGAGTTTCATATATATTTGAGTATTATTCACATTTACATTTGAATATTATTCTTATTTATTATTATAGTGGTTTTATTTATTTAGTTTATTAAATTTTAAGTTATTTCATTATTTTGTTAAAGTTACAAATACATGTGTTAAAGTTACCTATGTAACATATGTGTTTAATTTTGAGTGAGATGTTACTTGTCTGTACAACTATAAATAGTTGTAGATTTCTTCATTTTGAGATATYCAAGCATACCTCAATTGAGTATTCTTCTCCTCTCACAAGAATTCTCTATTCTTTTTGAGTTATTGTTSTTGTTTGTGTTGAGAGCAAGTGTCTAAGAGTTCTGTCAGATCCGAGTAGTTCGAGGTTGCAGTTCTATTGGAGTTAGTCGTTGTATCCTGCTGAGACGATCGCTGTAGTCTGCTAGCAACTTGTGCAGAGCGAATAATTGTTTTCAGGTTAGCGCTATTGAAGCGTGTCTCGACTATTTTATCAAATTTTGATGTTCATCAAGTTGTTCAAATTTATATCATTTGTAGCCAGTTACGTTGTAATCTGTTAGTTAGTAATACACAGTTTATATATACAGCGTATAT